GATCCACCAGCTTGTGGATTAAACAATAACAATGTGAAACAGAAAATGGTTATTATATATATGGATTGCCAAAAATAAACGAAACTCATAAATTACTTAAACACACTTTAAAAGTATTAAATGAATCGTTAGGAACAAGCATTAGTGCTGGAGATATAAACAATATTTACAAAGTTGGACAATCAGAAAATCCACCAGTAATATTGGAATTTGCCACATTTCTAAAGAAAATTACATTGTTTCAAGACAAAAAGAAATTGAAAAATTTAAAAGAGACTGGAATAACAATAAACAACGAGTTGTGTGTAGAAGATAGAGAAGAAAATAAAATTTTGAGATACCATCTTAAGAATGCTAGAGCTCAAAACCACGAAGCCAAAATTGTGGGCTACAAATTAATAATAAACGGAGATGTATACACTGCAAAAGAATTAGAAGACTTAGAAGCTGAGGAAGAAATTGAAATCGAGGAATTGAATGAAGAAGAAAATATAAATAAAAATAAAAATGCACAGTCTGGAAAAATTAGGAATATAAACATAAAGAACCGTCCAATCGATATATCAGAACAAAAGCCTAACCAAAAGAAACAGAAGCTAGAAGAAGCAAATTCCAGAAACAGAAGACGAATTTCTTACAGTCCAAAGACAAGAAATTCTAAAAAGACGTAGATAATAAGGTAAAAAGAAAACATAATATATTGTAATAAAAAAAAAAAAAAAACAACTGTTTTCCACTTTAAAATTGTAAATACATATTTTTAATATGAATAATTATATAAGGGATTTTGATTTATTTGAAGTTAAAACATTTGAAGCAGACAATATTGAGGGAGCAAAAAAGTTAATTAATGGAAATTTTAAAATTTTTCATTCTAATATTCAAAGCATACAAAGTAAATTTCCGGCTTTAGAAGTAATGCTGCATGAATTTCAAAATGATTTTGATTTGATAATTTTAACGGAAACTTGGAATATTGCTAATATACAGTCAATAAATATACCTAACTATACCGCATTTTTTAATGGAGGACTTATTAACCAAAACGATGGGGTTCTTGTTTACGTAAAAAATGATTATAAATTTCATACGGAAATTATTAAAATAGCGTCAATTGATTGTATTAGAATCACGATTAAGCATTTAAATAAAACAACTTCAATTACAGCTATATACAGGCCACACTCAATTAATACAAAATTATTTATTAGCGACTTGGAAACATTTCTAAATACCAAAGCCAAAAGCAGTAATGAGATAGTTATAGGAGACATAAACATCGACATACTTAGTAAAATAGATGATGAACATGACGATTATTTAAATATTTTTTATGAAAATGGATTTAAATCATTAATAAACAAATACACTAGGGTACATAAAAACTCAAAGTCATGTATCGATCATATTTTTTTAAAGACTAACTACATGGAAGTTAAAAAAATCTTACCTATTGTACTATACTCTAAGCTATCAGATCACTATCCTACGATTTTAGAATGTGACATTATAAACAGAGTCAGATGTAAAAAACAAATTGGAAACAAAAGAGATTATAGATTACAAAAAGCTAAAAACAAATTTTAAAAATCAAAACTTTGAAAATATATATAATTCTGAAAATATAAATAATATAGCAGACGATATAACAAGAACATTAATGAATTGTGTAGAAAATAGCAAAATAAAAGTTGCTGTAAATTTTTCAAAGAAAAAACCGTGGATTACACAGGGCCTAATAAAATCTATAAAACAAAGAGATAAACTTTATAAAATATACAGAAACTCCCAATTAGAGGAAGATTTTAGAGAATATAAAAATCATAGGAATAGGGTAACAAATCTAACGAAATTATTAAAAGATCAATACTATAAAAATAAAGTCGAACAGTTTTCAGAAGATAGCAAAAAACTATGGGAAACTATTAATGAATATAATAATAAAACAAAAAATAATCAAGAACCAAAAGAAATTGAATTTGATAATATCATTCATAGCGACCCAGAAAGTGTAGCAGAGTCACTTAATAAGCATTTCTCATCAGTAGGGGAAAAATTAGCAAAAAATATTACGGATAAGATAGAGATAACTAATAATTAAACTGGTTGGACTAACAAAGACTCAATATTTTTAAAACCTACAAACGAAAACGAAATTAAAGACATCATTAAATCATTAAAAACAAACTCATCACCTGGACTTGATAAAATCACAATTAAAGTACTTCAAGAAATTTCTGAAGAAATTGCAAAACCAATGGTCCATTTGATCAATTTAATATTTATAAAAGGAGAATGTCCTAAACATTTTAAAATTACCATAGTTAAGCCAATTTATAAAAAAGGTAACCCGAAATCACCTGAAAATTATAGGCCTATTAGCCTAATTTCTAACATATGCAAAATTTTTGAAAAAATACTTAAAATACGTTTTGTTGAGTTTTTTGTAAAACATAAAATTATTTCAAACATGCAATTTGGATTTCAAAGTGGAAAATCCACTGATGACGCAATTTCGTGTTTGATAAATAAAATATACAACTGCCTAGATAAAAGCAAACCTTGCGCCGGAGTTTTTATCGACTTGGCAAAAGCATTTGATACTGTAAGTCATCAGAAGCTTTTGTCAAGACTCGAAAATGTTGGCATCCGAGGTCCATCACTATCCTTATTGGCAAGTTATTTAGAAGATAGAAAACAAAGGGTACAAATTAATAATACAATTAGTAATGAAAAAACAGTTACGTATGGAATCCCTCAAGGTACTGTGATCGGTCCTATTCTTTTTATTTGCTACATAAATAGTCTATTTGATTTAAATTATAAAGGCAGCGTAATATCTTTTGCGGATGATACAGTATTATTCGTAGAAGAGGAAACTTGGGTTGAAGTATTTAAAAGTATTCAAACTAATTTACAAACTCTAACACATTGGTTCGACAATAATTTATTAACCATAAATCCGGAAAAAACCACATTTTTACCTTTTTCAAACTATAAGTCAGGATTACCAACAGAAAACAAAATTTGTATTGAAATTCAGCACCGAAATGAAACGTGGGAAATACAAAAATGTAACAAAGTCAAATATCTGGGCATAATTATAGATTCAAATTTAAAATGGGATTTTCAAATTGATAACCTAACAAAAAAGTTACGGTCTTTAATGTTTATGTTCAGACAAATGGCAAAAATTGTTGATTTACATATACTCAGAAAAATGTATTACGCATTAGTGGAATCTATATTATCTTATGGCATTATAGGATGGGGAGGAGTATATAATAGTACATTGCAAAAATTAGAAGTTGCCCAGAAGAGAATTCTAAAAATTATGTTTAAATTAAATATACGTTACAGAACGCACAACTTATTTATTGAAAACAACATTTTAACAATTAGAAAATTATTTTATAAAAGTTCACTTTTACACTTAATTAAGTATAAGTTAATTAATACATCTGTTGAACACATATATGAAACACGACACGTAACGCAAGCATGTATAAAAATATCCAGAGTGTATAAAAAAATTGGCGATCATTGTTATAGACAAGTTGGCCAAAAATTATTTAACACTATTCCCAAAGAGTTAAAAGAAAAAAGAAGTCAAACTAATTTCAAAAAACTGCTAACCACGTGGTTAATTATTAACTCCCCCAATATATTGTAACTGCTTCAAATAAATATTTAAAAAAAAAAAAAATAAGAATAAAAGATAAATTATAAAAAAAAAATAAATAAATAAAAAAAAAAAAAAATAAACAAAAGTTTGTTATTCTATCAGGGTCTGTAGCTAATAATTATTTGTTTTTACAAAATTTGATATATGTATTTTTTCCTGATTTATATAATAAATTATAAAGATTTATAATAAAAAAATATATATAGATAAAAATAAAAAAAAGAAGCAAAAAAAAAACATTTTCGACAATTTTACCTGGGTTTGCAACTAAATTTATTTTCAAAATCGGATACCTATGTATTTTTTTTTATTTTAATTTTTTTCTTTTTTTCGTTTTATTATATAAATTATAATAAGATGTATTACAGAATACCGCTAATTATACATTTATACTCTTAAAACAAAATAGCCTTAATAAGTAACGGCAGCAGCAGACAGGATTTTCCTAAGCTCGCAAAGTTACTTTTATTATGAAAATCATAGTAGTTAGGCATTACAAAATGTTCCCTTTCTTGTTTATTTCTACTAAATTGTAAAATAATTATATACTTTGTATTCATGGTTTTCGAAATAAACTTATTATTATTATTATTAATACTCCCGAGTGAGATGAGAAAGAAAAATGGCTGCGACCATAGAGTCGCATCTTGTTCTACTGATACAATATGCACATTGGCTTTCTACCCTACTCCAGTTCATTGGTTCAAGCCAGTTGAAATAAAGTTAAAACTGACAGTTCTGTGTATTTATTCAATATCTACAACCAGCACCTAGAATAAGACAACTTCTCCATTAACTCACCTGGTATGCTGCTATTAATGCCACCCAAAATTCCATCGTAAGAAAACTGATACATAAAAACGTCGACATATTTGGATTGCAGTTCTGCTTGTCTATATACACCAGTTGTATATGATGCATCACTAACAAACTAAAAATTTAAATAATTTCTTTAAACCTGTAATTAATTAATAAGGCATTGTATGTATAATTAAAAATAAATTAAGGAACGCTGAACTGTATAATTTACAGAAAGTTGGTTCTTTATTTTATTTTATTTTTATATAAGATTCTATCAGGAATAGTTTTTTGTATTACTGTCAATAAAAATATTTATTGATAAATATCATTTCTTCTTCTGCAAATGAGTACGCCAAACATAGCAGGACCAAAGGTCTTGCCAGCACTGTATATATATCAAACACTTTAAAAATAAATAAAAATAAAACTTTTACCCTAATAAATGCTGGAAAGTCTTCTTCGAAAGTTGTATTAGTATAGATTTTCTTAAGTTTAGTACCAGCTGGAAGCTTATTTTCTTCCGTGATATTAAGGTTGCCGTTTATAAGGTATGCTGCATTTTCATCGAAATATTTGGTTTTGGTTTTTAACTCTTCTAAATCTACAAAAAATACAATTCTGCGATAATATATATACTATTATTCAAAAATCGGAATATATCTAATGTGCTATAGTTTGAATACAATAGCATGTCCCAAACGGTAGTTCGCGAACCCTCAGAGGGTTGAAATGTCAAGAAATGCTAGATTATTTACATAAATTAAAAACAGTAACGGGCCAAGCTTTTTTTATTGAGCAATTCAAATTTATATCATCATTGAGGGCTAAGTTGTCTATGGAGTGGTATGAGATTTCTGTTAAAGCTGACTTGAGAGAGAGAGAGATATGCTTTATAGTCGTAAAAAAATTTACAAAAATTTTATAGACAAAGCGTGTAACTTAAATACTAAACATATTATAAAAATAACTAAACAGCAGAAAAAACAAACAGAAACAAACAGACAAAATAGGAATAACAATTGTAATGGATATGCAATATCCGTCATTATAATTATTCTAATTTAATTTTTAAATTTAAATTTAAACTTTAATATTTAATTATTTAATTAATGCCATTGTATGTGGAACTCAAATGTCTAAGGTACGTTATAAAATTCTGCTACTGTGTAATATGGTCTTTCTAGAAGAAAAGCTTTAGCCAGTCTTCGGAACTTATCGTATGTATTTATAGATTTTAATTGCATCGGAAGGTTATTATACAATTTTTTGGCATTGTAGGTAATGGAATGTTTTAATAGGTCAGAAGTGGGCATTGTTAAATAAACATCAGTCTCTAAATTTCTTGTAGGATATCTACGAGTCGGTCTTTCGGATAAATTTTGAATGTGCTTGCGAACTAAGCAGACGGATTCGAAAATAAATAGAGCAGGAAGGGTTAGAATTTTGAAATTTTTGAAGTAATTTTCGCAATGTGTCCTACTACTTAAACCAAATACATAGCGGATTGCTCTTTTTTGCAGTTTAAAAATAGATTCGAAAAGGTATAAGCTACAAGAACCCCAGAAAGGTAAACCATAGCGAAGGTGAGATTCGAATAAGGAAAAGTAGGTTATTAATGCAGTAGAAGGAGTCAGCTCTTTAGAAACCGATTTAATGGCAAAACATGCGGAGGATAATTTTTTTGCTAAGGTATCTATATGAGCAGACCATTTTAGAGAATCGTCTATATAAAGACCTAAAAACTTGATTGAAGTCACCGTTTGGATCAGATTATTGTTTAAAGTTATAGGTTGTAAAGTACCTCTGTAAGACAATGCTACAGTTTTACTGGTGTTGAAACAAAGTCCATTCGAATCAGACCAGGACTTAATAGTCACTAGATCTTCACTTATGATAGATTGTAATGTCTGCATGTTAGAATTATTCCAGGTTACACTGGTGTCATCAGCAAATAAAGTAATTCTACCACTTATTCTTAAGTCTGTGATGTCGTTGATGAATAATAAAAACAAAATTGGACCTAATACTGATCCTTGAGGTACTCCACTGCTTATTGCTAGATTTGTAGAATCCTTACCATTCGCCCGCACCTGTTGATTTCTATTTTCTAGGTAAGTTTTAAACCATTGTAAAGGAGAACCCCGTATGCCATAAATTTGTAACTTATTAATTAAAATATCATGATTTACACAATCGAAGGCCTTTGCGAAGTCACAAAATACTGAAGCGGTGAAAAGTTTATCATTAAGTGATGTGTATATTTCATTAAGAACGGAAAACATTGCGTCGCTAGTGCATTTTTTAGGTAGAAAGCCATACTGATGAGCTGTGAGGATGTTATGCTTGAAAAGAAAGGGCAAAAGACGGTTTTTCATTAACCGTTCTACTATCTTCGATAAGGTAGGCAATAACGCGATAGGTCTATAGTTACAGGTTTTGGTTTTGTCGCCACCTTTATGAAGTGGGATTATTATAGCTGTTTTTAGACAGTTAGGAAAGAGACCAATTTCAAAGGATTCATTAATCAGTGAAGTTAAAATGTTGATTACTACATCCGGTATATTTAGAAATATTTTGGTGGACAGGCCATCAATTCCGCAGGAAAATTTATTTTGGATGTTGTTTATGGTTTGCACTAGTTCATGCTTGTCTACTGGTCTTAGGAAGAAACTTTCAGTGATCCTTTTAGTAGGTAGGAGGAAGGAGAGAGCATCCTGACTCGGAGCTATGTTAGATTTGATATTTTTACTTACATTTACGAAATAATTGTTTAGTTCATCTGGGCTAGGATTTACACTGTTTGAAGAACGGGTTTTATTCCTTGAGTCATTTATTATAGACCAGGTTTCTTTGGAGGAGTTTTTAGCTCTTGCGATGCGATTTTTGTAATAGTTTTTCTTAGCAGATTTGGTGATTTTCCGATACAATATTCTGTAGTTGTTGATATAGTTTAATATTAGGGGATTATCTGTGTACTTTTTAATATACATGAGTGACCTCATATTTTTAGATGATGTTCTTATTCCTTTAGTTGTCCAAGATTTATGACATTTAGTTTTAATGGGGCGAAGGGGGAAAGCTGTATTGAAACACATAATTATTTTATTTAAGAAGTCTAAAAATTTAGAGTCAATATCTTCAGAAAGACCATTCCAATCAGTAGTTAGACATAAATTATAGAAATTTTTGAAATTATGCTTAGAGAAAATTCTACCTAGCTGACGGACTTTTTTTGGAGCTGTACGGGGTATCAAAAATTTGGCAAATACTGCTTCGTGGTCTGAGAGACCTGAGCTAATTACTTGGTGCTCTACATCAACGGGTTTAAAATCAGAGACTACGTAATCTATAATTGTAGATGTTGTTTCTGTGATTCTAGTTGGAGAATTTACGTGCATAGTGAGACTGAATGATTCAAAAATATTGATCAAAGACTTTTGAGTAGCACATACATTAGCAAAGTCAATATTAAAATCGCCGCATAAAATTTTCTTGAGTGTTGAGATAAATGTTGTTGTTGTCTCCTCGAGGGTAAGTTCAACATCCTTGTGGAAATCTAATGAGTTAACATTTTTTGTGTTCAATTTACTTATAATTTGGAGTCAAATGATGTCTAACTGCCGATTTGTCTGGCCTTTTGATGTGTTCGCTTATCCGGACTCCCAAAGATCTGCAAGTTCTACCTACATAACTGGCATTACAATCGCTGCATTGCAACGTGTGTATACTCCACTCTTGTCTAAGAAGTTGGTTTTATCTTTAGTGTTGACTAAATGGGAATCAAATTTATTGATTGATTTAAAACTTTAATGTTATCGATGTTATTAATAAAAACGTTTAAAATGCTTTTGGCTAAGTGACTTTCCCAAAAGGAAAATTACGTAAAATTGATTATTATGACCAAAGGATAAGCTAATTTTTTTTTAATTTAATTTTGTCGATAAAGATTTGAATTCCGGTGTTAGAATAAAATATATTTAGTTCATCTATTTAAAGTAATTAATAAAAGTCAGTGAATGTAACAATAAAAAGAAGACATTTTTTGTTGGTGAGGATGATTATAAATTCATGTAAGACGATTTACTATAAGTTAAAAGCATAATAATCTTTCTTACCAAACTTTAATTGTTCCTCACTATTAACACCAATAAGCATGGGCACTTTGTTAAAAATACCATTTTTGAAATTCTCATGCATTAATCCTTTAATTACGCCATTTCTTGAATGTTCTTCTACTGGATTCCATACGGTATTACCTTGATTCCCCACAGCGTTCCTCATATTTTCTGGTATCTTAAATATATACATATAATACATATAATGGTTATTTTGAACAAATTTTATAATAAATTTTGAAAATGAAATATTCGTTTTATCATTGGCGTGATAAAATCATTGAAATAAAAGTTTTGCACAATTCAATTTTATTTTAATTTAAAATTCTGTATATCAAAAACTAATTACTTTAAACCCACATGTTTCATACATTTTTGAAACCAGTTAAACGAGAGGAATCCAAAAATGGATAAAAAAATGGGGGAACCCATTTAAATAATGGAAAGGATGATAGCAGGGGTGAAAAGGTGACTTTTCCAGCAAACCTAAATATATCACATCTCCCTCTTTGAATATTAATTGACATATTTTTTTGTTTTTTGTAATAATCAGTTTTAATATCTATAAGTTTTGTTAATTCTATTAATTTGTTTAATAATATTCATTAAACTCTTTAATACGTTCTAGTAATTGTTTAATAACCCTTATTAAATATTAAAGGTTTTATCCCTTGCACGCGTCGACAACTCGCGGAAAGTAGTTTTCGTGCGAGGTCGAAGATCCACGATCACGATGACCACACCACACGCCACTAACCTAACTATATTCATTTTCTTTTGTTTGTGTTAATAAAAAGGTGTCTTAAGTGTAAAGTTTTTATGTCCATATAATGTTTACCTATTCTTATGTCTTTGTAATTATTTTTGTCAAAATTTCCTGCTTTGTAATTGAAATTGTATGTTGAGTAGTATACCAATAAATAAATAAATAAATAAATAAATAAATAAATAAATAAAATAAATAAATCTGAAAAGCAGTATATTCATAAAGTCTTCAAATTTTTACAAACTTACAGGTAATCCACTATTTTTCTTAATATCTTCTGTACTAGCATCAAGTAAAACTTTTAGTAATTCTTGAGAAGAATTTTTAGCATCAATATTATTATTAATCAATTGACCCAATTGGAAAGCAAAATATCTGGGATGTTTCATAAACATTTTAGAATTTAAAGGGGATCCACTTTCTTGAATTACAGAGCGAAATAAACCTAAAATAAAACAAATAATGGAACAAATTTAGTAAGTAAACATATTTGATTTTACCTTTAGATTGTTTATTTAAAATAATATGTCCAACGCAACTTCCTCCAGAACTATGTCCTCCAAGAGTAACTTTTTTGGGATCACCACCAAATAATTTTATATTTTTTTGAATCCATTGTAAAGCCAATATCTGATCCTTTATGCCTAAATTTCCTGGTAAGACATCGTCTTCAGTACTAATAAAGCCTAGGATTTTTAAAATAAATGCTATGTATTAATAATGAAAAACTAAATTAATAGGGTTTTGTTAATTATTTATTTATATATTCATATAGCATTGTTAGAAACCTCCATATCACTTGTTACGAAGGAAAATTGTCAAAAAGCAATCGAGCATGTGTTAAAAGAAGAAGAAAATATGTGGAATCTGTAGAGGAGTATACATGGTAGTAAAATGAATGAATAATGGTCTGCAACTTTAAAAGGTTTTATTATTCAAAAAGTGACATCAGTGATAAATAAAAAATACAATGTCAATCAAAAAAATGATAATGCAACTCAACAAAAAGAATGTCGAATAATGATAAGGGTAAGGGGTGGATTCCATACGTTCGTGTTTATTTTTTCAACACTCCCCCTTAAATCGAACTTCTTAAACTAAGAGCGTTTCTTAATTTCTTAAACCTAGCTCTTGATAGTGGTTTCGTCATGATATCTGCAATTTATTAATCTCCAGGAATATATTGAATATCGAATTCTTTGTCCAAAACTTGCTCTCGTATAAAATGGTAGCGAATATCCACGTGTTTTGATCATTTATGGAATTCGGGATTCTTGACCAATTTTATGACACTCATGTTATCCATATGAAGTAGTGAACAAGTTATTGGCTCACCCAGTAGTTCACCGAGTAATCGTTTCAACCAAACAATCTCTTTAGCCGCTTCACTGGCATCTATGTATTCAGACTCCATCGTTGATAAACTTCCGTATAATTCTATCTCCAAATTTACAGACTACACCTGATGTAGACCTTCTTGTCTTTGTTTCCCCTCCATAATCTTCATCGCTGGATACATTTAAAGGTCTTTTGAAATTGTGTAAAAAATTATAAATTTTAATGTACCTTTTAAATACTTCATAATTCTTTTAGTCGAGATTCTACAGATTGTGAAATACAATTTACAGCAAACGTGATGTCAGGCCTGGTAACAACTGCTAAATACATTAAACTACCTACGGCAGATCTAAAGGCACTTTTAGACGGTCAGATGAGTTCTCCGTTCAGTCTCAGTTTCAGTACAGTTATCAGTTCAGTTTGGAAATTACATCCATTTAACTGACAACTGATATGATAACTTGGTATACCCAACGAGCCACAGCTCCGTATCAGTTTCAGTTTTTTTTTACAGTTTTTTGTGTTTACACACAGATAACTGACAGTTCGAATGAAACTGAGACTGAACAGAGAACTGATCTAACCGTCTAAAAGTACCTTAGGAACAGTTTCTGCAATCGGTGTGCTACTAGTATCATCTGAAATATAATTTTTTTCCTTAGGCATTTTTAGAGGAAAAAACTCAGACATATTGTACTTATCCAGTACACGATTAATGTATAGGTCGTGGTGAATAAAGATTCCTTCTTTTTTTTTAATAATCTGCATACTTAAAAAGGTATCAACTTCACCAAACGTCATTTTAAATTTTGACTCTGATTCTTTCTTGAAGTTATAAATATCTTCTTCCTTTTTAGCAATCAGTAGCCTATCGTCTACGTAAAATACTAACAGCAATTTTGGAACTTTTCTGACGAATAAAAATGAATCAGCTGTACTTTGTTGTAATCCACATTTTCGTATAAAATCGGTCAAACGTGGAGCTCACTTTAGACCGTACATACTTTTTTTAATTTACAAACTCAACCAGTATTATCTTCATAACCAAGAGGTTGTTTCATGTAAATCTCTTCTTTAAGGAAGCTATAGAGGAAAGCTGTTTTTATATTAAATTGTTTCATTAATAATTTTTCTCGTGCAGCTATAGCTAGAACAGTTCAAATCGTGTCAAAGCGACCAACTACTGATGTAAAAGTTTCTTCAAAATCAATCCCAGGTTTTTGGCAAAAACCCTTTATGACCAAACGTGCTTTGTACCTGGTCACGTTTCCACTTGAATCTTGTTTGATTCGAAAAACCCATTTCCCATCCTTTGAATTCATAGCCTCCTTTATTGTGATAGAATCCGTATCTTCAACTAATATCACTAAAGCATCAAAATCACTAGACGGGGTTAATTTCGATCTTGATCTCAGAAAATTTCTTTCATTTGTCTGTTCATATCTATTATTTTCTTATGTATTAGGAACGTTTTCAGTTTCTTCTAGTAATTTACTGTCAAGAACAAAGACATTTTCTTTTATCGTTTTTTCTTCTTTGAATACAACGTCCCTGCTTAATATGATATCTTTCTTTTCTAGAATCCAAATTCTGTAGCCATCTTTTTCGCCACAATATCCTACGAGGTAACTTTTCCTGCTTTTTCTATCCCATTTCCGTCTTTTTGATTTAGGAATATGAACAAAGCATTCAGTGCCAAATATTTTAAAATGCTCTAAAGATGGAGTTACACCACGCCAAAGTTCAATTGGAGTGAGACCACTTTAGAAATTACATTCAACAAGTCCTATCCGCTAATTTAAATCAGCATTCAAATACAAAAAAAAATAAATTACTAGATAGACACTCCCTGTATAAACCTCCGCATTTAGCTCGAAGCATTTAGCAAACAAAAAGAATAAAGTACTGAATAGTCACTACCTCTATAAACTTAACTTTCAAATAACCTTCAGACACCTGCGCAAACGGGTAAAGCAAGGTCACGCAAGATGTTTTCACCCAATCATGACTCTCGCGCGTAATTATAAGGCTAGATAATCAATTAGAACAAAGTCAGTAAAACCGATGCGAACTAACAAGCTTGCATTGAAAAACAAAACGCTCACTTTCGCTTCGTCAGTCAAACCAACAAGCCGTAAATTAATTTCAAGCATTTGTGCGATTTGATTTACAAAAGTTAATATGTAATCGATCAATAAATTTATGTAACCAAGTAGTAAATGTGTAAAATGTGAAATCAGCAAGCCGTGAATATATCAAATTCAAATATAGGGTGATAGTTTTATTTGAATAAACCCAGTGCTTCAACCAGAACTTCAAGAGTATCTTCCAGAGGCTACAGGGTGGAGCATAAGGTCTTCACCCCAGGTAATTATTTAAAATACAGTCATACAGTCCACCATGATCGAAGGCAGTAAATGTCAAGCCCAATAAAGCTAGGGTGGAACAACCACTATGTTTCAATATATATGCTGCCATATTGACGGCTTCGGCCGGCAAGAATTCAGGCAAATTTCTACTATGGTCATATCGCCCCATAAGCCTATCCTCCTTCCTACTTAAAACACTAGAAAGATTAATAGATAGGTATATCAGGGACGATATACTAAAAATAAATCCGCTCCATCCCAACCAATATGCATACCAGCCAGGAAAGCCAACTGACCTAGCGCTGGACGATCTAAACAGGCTGCTTTCAAAGTCAATAGATGACAAAGAAATCGCAATAGCCACTATCTTAGATATTGAAGGAGCTTTCAACAATGCCTCAACCAGGTCAATAACCAAGGCTCTAGAAGGGAGACACGTCCCAGTAACAATATGCCAATGGATCACTGACTGTCTAGAGAACAGGATTATTTTATCCACTCTAGGAAAGGCAACCATACAGGCAAAAGTTACACGGGGCTGCCCACAAGGAGGAATACTATCTCCAATGCTGTGGTCAGTTCTTGTGGACGACTTACTCAAAATATTGTCCAAAGAAGGCTACCAGTGCCTAGGATACGCAGACGACCTAGCAATCATCGTCAGGGGGCGATTTGCAGGTACAGTTTCGGAGCGATCTCAAACAGCTCTAAACATAGTGAACAACTGGTGCAAAAAGGAACAATTGTCCATCAACGCACAAAAAACAATAGTTGTACCATTCACAAAAAAACGGGTACTCACAGGTCTAAGACCACTAATACTAAACAGCACATTTATCCCATTCGTCACAGAAGCCAAATACCTCGGAGTCATATTTGACCAAAGGCTGACATGGAATCAACATCTCAAAAAACTCACACATAAAGCTACAATAGCTCTCGTAAGCTGTAGAAGAATATGTGGGAAAAACTGGGGTCTACACCCCAAAATGACCATATGTGTTGATTTAATTATTTATTTTATTTATAATGTTAAGTATTTTTGTCTATACCCTGTATTATGCGTTTAGTTGGATTTTGACAACTTGTCAGAACGAAGGAATTATTGACATTGATTTTTATATAATAAAATTGTTCATTTGCACCCAGTATTTAACTTCCTTTTCAACCAGCGCATTTTATAGAGTCTTTCACAGACAGTGGGCTCTTGAGACGGCAGACCGACACAATATGGTTATACACAAGGGTAATAAGACCCATGATAACCTATGGCGCAGTGGCGTGGGTAACCAAAACTGCGCAGGCAAGTGCAATAGACCAACTCACTAGCATTCAGCGGCTTGCCTGTCTAAGTGTTACTGGGGCCATGCGCACTACGCCGACCGCAGCAATGGAGGTATTACTAAATCTCACGCCATTGCACATCTTCATACAAGGAGAAACCAGGTCAACTATTCACAGGCTAATGCAGGGACAAAACTCAATAAGCCAACTACATAGCGCCGACCACACAAGGCTATATCAGCAAGTAAAAAGGGATAATATTCTAGCTATGCCTACTGATAGAGCCATAACCACATACAAATTTGAGAGAAATTTTCAAATTCAAATACCAGCCCGAGAATTCTGGAAACAGGGACCTCCCGTACAGGCTGAACTCGTCTGGTACACAGACGGTTCAAAAACCAAGGAAGGAGCCGGTGCTGGAATCTATGGACCTAAGTCGAAATCAACGATTTCACTAAGCTTAGGAAAATATGCAACAGTGTTCCAGGCTGAGCTAATAGCCATACAACACTGTGCAAGAGAAATATTAAATCAGCAAGTATCAGGAAAAACTATTGCCATATACTCGTTAGGATAACAGTAGGCCTTCTTACTGGACACTGTCGCCTCAAAAGGCACATGAGTGTCATAAATCCAGCAGAAGAAGCAACTTTGTGCAGGTTCTGTGAAGAAGAAGAAGAGGAAACATCATTCCACGTCCTGTGCCAATGTGAAGGCTTGGCTGGAATGAGGTTTCTAACATTGGGCGAAGAAAAGCCAATTGCATGCAACTACATGCGGGAGCCACTGTCAAAGCTACTAAGTCTAATAAAAAAGACCAGGCTAGATGACATACTCTAAAACAAACAGGAGTCCCACAATAGATCTGAAAAGATCGCGGTGGACAAGGACAAATAACGTCCAACTCCTAATCTAATCTGCTGCCATATTGACGGCTTCGGCCGGCAAGAATTCAGGCAAATTTCTACTATGGAGCATAGTTCTTGCAGACTCTACCAGCGTGCGATTTTTCCGTGCTGCAGCTCCATTTTGTTCTGGCGTATACGGCATAGTTGTACAATGTTGTAACCCTACTGCACCTGTGATTTTCTTCATTTTTAGATTACTAAATTCGCTACCATTGTCTGTTAATAGTTCTTTAACAGTATGTCCAAGAACTTTTAATTCCATCAAAAAATTTTCTATTTTTCTTGGTACTTCTGACTTTTCTTTTAAGAAATATAAAGTTGTAAATTTAGTAAAATCGTCTTTTAAATAAAGAAAATAACGTGCTCCACCCAGAGACTTCTCAGGCGTGGGTCCGCAAATATCTGCATGTATTAGATCTAAGTCCCCTGGATTGACGTGTACCAAAACTTAATCTATGCTGCTTCTCATACATGCAAAATTCACAAAAATTTCCACCAAGTGGACATTGTCTTGATTATGTGAATTTGAGTTCTTTGACTTGGCAATTAAGGCTGTTTTTTCAAACGTATCAAGATTGATCCTTTGGTACACTCCCATGCATTTGTAAACTCGAAATATTCTGCAGGCAAGGTATTCAAACCTCTGTTTAAAAATAACGAGTCGGGTAGTTTAACTTTGTCTTCCCGCCGTGTTTCATCTTGCAATTCTAACCATAACTTTTCGAGTTTGGCAATATGTCTAGCTACATTGTCTTGAGGATCTTTTTCCCGAACACTAAAGAACTGGTTAAAGAGACGATCCTGTCTTTGTTCAGTTCTCTGTTCATACACACTATGTATCTTATCCCACATATATTTTGCTTTACTGCGCATACTAACTAATATGAGTAGCAGTATCTGACTGCTTAAAATTATTAAACGAGATTTTCTAACGTCAAAAAGATGTCAACGGTTTGTCAGTGTATTTGGAACTTTCTATTTGTGTCTCTTGTATTTATTTTATTTGAATTTTATTAAAAAACGGAAATAGAATGCCAGTTTTTCCTGGAAGGTGACAAATACTCTAGTCAAAATTACGAGAGGAATGAATATTTTTATAACATGGGCAATTTTGTAATTTTTAAGACCATGGAGTTATTTTTTAAATTCATTTGACATTCTTTTTTTGCCCTGCGTAAAATTTGATATACGGTGTGTTTACGGTTTTGGTACGTTCAAAAAAATGGGGCCTCTATCTTCAAACAGCCTCTTTTCCTTTGACAAACATTTCTCCAACTCAAATCTGAAGTTTTCTTCTTCTCTTTTTTTGTGAAATTTTTAAAAATCCAGATTACTAAACTCGATTATCTAATCCTTAGCCGGTGCATAGAAAATACCCACTAGTCATTTAAACGAGATTTGTAAATCTGGATTAAATTTTAAAACGGTGTATATGGGCGTAGAGCTCGACACAATTAAATTTTGAGCCGTATATTCAATTTTATTTGCGGAGGAGAGATCTTTTCGATATTCTGCCTTTTGAATTTCAGTTGCACCAAGGTACCATTAACTGCTTGCATAACATCGTGACTTTGTAACTGAATTCTTATTTGGAACTTCAAGTCCATCCAATTAGACTGCCCTTTAAGTTTATCAATTACAACTCTTTGAAAGTTCCATATTTAAGAAATTTATATACAATGTGTAGACAAGATACTGCTCCAAATATTAAAAAACTGACTTTGCAAGACCAACCTATTGCATTCACAGCATACCTGGGCCCATAACCTGTAGAGGATTATGCACGGTAGTGGACTGAATGAATAATGGTCTGCAACTTGAATTAAAAGTTTTTGTGCACGACCACTTAATAATAAATTAATATTCTACCTCCTAACTAAAAGCAGTAACTGAAGATGGGTGATACTTTTCATAACGATATTTACTAGATAGAAAAATCGAAAAATCGAAAAATCAAAAAATCGAAAAATAAAAAAATCGAAAAATCGAAAAATCGAAAAATCGAAAAATCGAAAAATCGAAAAATCGAAAAATCGAAAAATCGAAAAAAATCGAAAAATCGAAAAAAATCGAAAAAAATCGAAAAATATCGAAAAAAATCGAAAAAAATCGAAAAAATAAAAAAATAAAAAAATCGAAAAATCGAAAATACAGAAAAATCGAAAAATCGAAAAATCGAAAAATCGAAAAATCGAAAAATCGAAAAATCGAAAATACAGAAAAATCGAAATATCAAAAAATCGAAAAATCGAAAAATCGAAAAATCGAAAAATCGAAAAATCAAATAATCGAATAATCAAAAAATCGAAAAATTGAAAAATTGAAAAATCGAAATTACAAATTCAAAAATTGGAAAAATCGAAAAATTAAAAAGTCGAAAAAACAACAGTTCGGGACGCAAACGTCACCCTGCGTGAATAATGGCTACCATAAATTGCTCATTTAATAATATACTATTATTATTCAAAAAGTGACATCAGTGAAAAATTAAAAATACAATGTCAATCAAAAAAGTGATAATGCACGATAATACAACTCAACAAAAAAAATGTCAAATAACGATAAGGGTAAGGGACGTTCATGTTTATTTTTTCATTAGAATCTGGACAAAATCTTGGATGTCGATACCACAAAACCGGATCATGTCAAAAAAGTGGTAAAATATTGAATTTACTAAGTTTTTTTTAGGGGTGAGGGCGAGGGGATTTACCTAAAAAAGCACCACAGCGGTTAAATTACAAATATTTAAGTTTAAAATAGTAACGAAAAAAATAATACAAACAAATACCCCCTAATTTACCCAACCGTGCGCTCATCAGAGGCTTAAAGTGGATTAAAAATTAAGGTAGCCTTTTGTTTTTGTTCCACAAAACCAAGCGACACAGGTAAAATTTTTAATTTAACCAAACTTTTTAACTCCCGGTTCTTTAAAATCACAGATTTTGTTTGAGCCACCTGTACTGTAAAATTCCCATAAAATTTTGATTTATTATTACTCCGTTGCGATTGCAATTCTACTATAGTCATTCATTTGTGTTGGCGCCCGTTGTCCAATTCAATAAATCATTAAAAAATAAAAATGCAACGAAATAAATTTCAGATTTTTACACACATTTTAAAAAAGAAATAAAAATTACATATTTACCGAACGGTCCCAAACGATAGTTTAAGGTAACTACAACGATTCCATAATCCATGAGAAATTGAGGTCCAAATAATTCAAATGTTCCATCATTTTTTAATAAAAATCCACCGTGTACAAACACGTATACTGGCAAAAGTTTTTGGGTAGATCCAGGTTTCTGAAAAGTTCAATTTTTGCTTTAACGTAACTAGCATTTTAATTATTTAATTCACGTCAAATAAATACAGGGAAAAGAAAATATTTTAACCCTATATAGAGGTCACCCAGAGGATCAGAAAAAATCCATATAGGATGGGTCTTGCGACCTTTATAACCGAGTTTGTCCCATTTGGCCCATTTTTTCCGTGCTCCATAATTTTTGAATCACTCAGTATATTTTTTTGATATTTGGCATAGATAAATGCAGACCGATTGGACAATTTTTTGGGTCGCATCTCAACTCGTGCTCACTAATTCTTTAAAAGGTAAAAGAGTAAAAGTCTCTATAATCCGTATACCTAACTCGTGCTTGATTGAAAAATATACCTGCACTAATTAACATCTAATCTTATCTAGGAACTGTTAAAAGATTTAATATAAAATTCTAAGGAACAGGCATCATTGAAAAATTTCTTGTACTTACTAGAAATCCGGAAAGTTTTTCTTTCGGATCTGTTATTTATAAATGAGTTAGTTTTATTTCGTAATTGTAAATGGTAAGAGCAGCTCAATAAACATGTCGATTCGCGAAGTAAGGCCTTCTGCACACGGAGCTTATCGTCATAGACGCGTACAAGATTCGTCCTGCAACGGTGATTCATCTACGCCTACCCTTCTGCACACGAAGCTTAATTACATTATTCGTGAAGTGTGAACTTTGTATTTCCACTGTTAAGATGTCAAGTGATGAAGAGGACCTACTTTTGTTATTTTATCTTCCGAATCGCAAGAAAAATAAGAAACGTAGGAAATTTTGGATGCATCCCTATGTCTACAAAAATTGTAATAACAGGCTATAGCTGCCCAAATCTTTTCTAGCGTAGTCCTTAAGGGTATTCTTATGTAAACATTCATAATGTTCAATTAATTCAACAAGTTTTATAATTTCATTAGCCCTTTTACGCAAAAAACTGGAGAAAAGCGTGCTCTTTTTAGCTAAGCGTACTGAAAGCGACTGACACTGCTGTACGCCCGGCGTATTGCAGCTTGTATGCTTTTACGAATCCACGCTTCTGACGCCCCGTGTGCAGTTGATAATTGAAACCAAAGGGAGCAGCACAAAAGCGTACACCTCTCGTATGTCGCATCTAATACGAGCCGATGACGAAAAGCTACGTGTGCAGAAAGCCTAACAAGTCAACGTGGAAAAATATTATTAATAATAGAACAGTGCAAATTTAATCAAACTTGCAAAAAGTTAGCATCTGGAGAAATTAAGTGGGTATGTGTGAATAGAAAGTGTAAAGCAGTGGTCGCCAACCTGTCGATCGCGAGCTACCGGTAGCTCGCGGAGGCAATTCTGGTAGCTCTCACAACGATTTTAATTTAAAAAATACAAACTGCAAAAATCAGATAAGCTTCCGAAAATTTCACAAAAAAATCTAATTGTCATAATATTAAACATAAACAGCAGCAACGTTGCGGTGAGCGATCTGCCGCTGACGCCATCAAGCTAGAATCGGCTAGAACCGACCAGCGCGTTAGTGTTCGAGAACGATCAGGATTGCTTTAAACGGGATACATACGCACGGCGCGGCGACATTGCGCTTAGTTTAAAACTGAACGCGTAACCAACGTCCAGCGGTTGGGTTAGTAGAGAACAACAAAAAATAATATGGCAAGCAGTTGTAAGAAGGTAAAGACATACCACTTTCATTCGGAATGGGAAGAACAATACTTTTTTACAGAAGTTAAAGATAAAAATGTGTGTTTGTTATGTAATACTTCGGTCTCCGTTGCTAAAAAAGGAAATATTGAGAGACATCATAAAACTGTACATTCTAATTTTGAAAAATTATTCCCACTACATTCTGCCGCCAGAAAGGAGAAACTGAAACAGTTAAAAAAGCATTTAATTGGACAACAATCAATATTTTTAAGAACAGTCGACAAAAATAAGGCTGCAACTGAAGCATCGTACCGTGTGTCCCAGATAATTGCATAAAAAAAGAAACCTTATGAAGACGGGGAAATGATAAAACAGGCGTTTTTAGAAGCTGCTGATTCGTTATTTGCCAACTTTAGAAATAAAGACGAGATATTTTCAGCTACAAAACCTATGCAACTTTCTGCTAATACAGTGATGAGACGTGTAGAAGTAATGAGCAATGATATTTTTTTACAGTTAAGAACTGACTTAGATAACTGTGTTTATTTTTCACTTCAACTGGATGAATCAACAGATGTCGTTGACACTGCCCAGATAGCCGTGTTCGTTAGGATGGTTTTTAGTGATTTTACGATTAAAGAAGATCTTTTGAAGTTTATTTCACTGAAAGGACACACTACTGGACAGGAGTTGTTTTCTCATTTAAAAAATATTATTTCTTCCGAGAAAATTCCAATATCGAAAATGGTAGGCTTGACAACCGATGGCGCTCCAGCTATGGTGGGTTGTGATAAGGGTCTGGAGGCGTTATGTCGTAAAGATGAAACTTTTCCGCAATTTCTCTGTTACCACTGCATTATCCATCAGCAAGCATTATGTGGAAATTTCCTGAAACTAAACAACGTTATGAAACTGGTGGTAAAAATTGTGAACAAGATTAGAGCTCAAGCGTTACAAAGAAGATTATTCAAAACCTTGGCCGACGAAGTTGACTGTCAATACGGGGACCTACTCCTTCACTCTGAAGTCCGATGGTTAAGTAGAGGCCGGGTGCTGAAACGTTTTAATGATGTCCTATCTGGCATAGTTCAATTTTTCAAACAACGCGATGAACCGACTCCGGAACTAGAAAATTCAATCTGGCTTAGAGATTTTGGTTTTCTCGTGGACATTTCAAAGAATTTAAACGAACTTAATTTGCAGCTTCAGGGGAGAGACAAAGAACTAACGGAAATGATTTCTGATATAAAAGCATTGATCAAAAAGCTGGAGTTTTCGGAACAAAACCCAATTAACAGCGATGCCAAGCATTTTCCTATTCTTTCAGAAAAAATATTTCAAAATCCATTAGAATCCTATGACAGCAAATATCATGTAGAAATAGTTTCTACCCTGAAGAATAACTTCAAAAATCGTTTTAAGGATTTCAACGAAATGGCTTTAGCAGCGCAGTTTGTTGTTTGACCCTTTATGGAAATTGATATCCAACAGTTTGCAACTTGTGTTATGCAGAACTTTGGCGAAGACATCGCTGCAACAGAAATGGAAGAAATTGAGTTTCAAAATGATTTAGCCTTAAAATCGTTAGTCTCAAGTACCAAATGTATCTGGCCTATTGTAAGTAAAGACAAATATTCAGTTCTATGCCTTGTTGCCTTGAAAGTGAAAGCATTATTCAGTTCAACCTATTTGTGTGAATCTTCTTTTTCCAATATGAAGTTTATTAAGAACAAATATCGCAATCGACTTACAGATAAACATTTGTATAATTGTATTCGAATGGCTGTATCAAATTATACTGCAAACATTAAAAAAATTATCGATGAGTCTGAGTGTCAGCCTTCTCATTGAACGTGCTTTTTTATTTTTCAATGTTTATGTTCATGATAGTGCGTTACTTTTTTGTTGTTATTATTAACTATTTTTAAATCTTACGTGACATGCCGTTGTGGCTGGATAAAAGTTTGTGTTTATTTTTCAAACACCTTCGTTTGGTAGGTAGGAATGTAGCTATGAACAAGTACGTACTAGTAATATTAGTTATTTTGTTATTAGTTTATTTTTAGTACCTATGTTTTATGTATTACCAGTTAAATAGTAAAATAAATACATATAATGATAAATTAGCTGTGAATTATTTCATTTACGTTGCGTTACGTGTCTTCCGTGTGGGTACATCGCTGTTTATTCCAAAATTAACAAAGTAGCTCAACACATTGAGAGGTTGGCGACCACTGGTGTAAAGCCTTTCTTCGAACAATCGGTTATTCTGGTGGTCGTGTAATAACTGAAAAAGTGTTAACATATAATCATCCAGCAATAGAAGAAAATATTATTCAAAGACATATATAGTGAGTGCATCTGCTAAACGAAAGGCCTCTGATGATATTTGTAAAAAACCCAACGAAGTTATTCGAAAATGTTTTGAATCCAATTTAAATATACCTAAAATAAACAATATAAATTGTATCAAAAAATCAATTTACTATGAAAAACGCAAAAATTTCCAAAACTTCCATCAATACATACATTTTACAAAATGGGAATTTTGTGGTTATAAATGATTTGGAAATAAATCTAATTCTATTTTGTACTGAAACTAATTTGAAGTTTCTCTGTGAGTGCAAAACACTTTACATGGATGACACGATTGCGTATTGCAAAAAATATTTTCTCCAATTGTTTACTATTCATGACCTACGTAATGAACATTATATACCACTTGTTTTTTGTTTATTGCGAGATAAAAAAAAGATAATGCTACGTGATTAATTTGGAGTGATGTTAGATGATAGGCTGTCGATTCCACTTAAGTCAAGCATGGTGACGAAAAATTCAAAATTAGGGACTATCATCGGAGTATAAAAACAAAGGGATAGGTATTGGAAAATGGCTACGTTACTGCTTTGGAATTATATTTTTAGATGATCAATTAGTTAGCGACTTCTTTGTTTTTGAACTAGAAGAAAAGCCCAACTTTTGTGTATTTCTGTATGTGTATTTTTGTATAAAAATTCAAGTAAATTTAAAATTAAAGGAGGCTCCATTACTAGTGACCTGTTTTCTTTTTGTCTTTTTTGCTTGATTTTAATAAAGTATTTAAAAAGTACATACATAGTATTAAATCTTGTACGACGGTGCGGAACCCTTCATGCGTGAATCCGACTCGCACTTGGCCGATTTTATTCATAAAATATGACGTAAAAAACACAAAACTTACCTGTGGTGTGTAAACATTAAGATACAAGCAATCTTCAGTTTCTCTTGGATCATTTTTTGGAAATTGTATACAAATTTTGGTATTTTTTGTAGTTTTTTTTACTCCTTGCCAAGGTACAGGTTCAGTGGCTTCCTAAAAATAAACGGTATTCCAATACAATGAATATATTTCACTAGTTGTTAAGAAAAATGGTAAAAGGTGCTAATAATAATAATATATATAAAGAAAAATAAATACGAATATGTACAAATAAGTAGAATATACAAAATATAGAATAAATATGAAGGAAAAAAGGATTACTGAATCTGTGATATATTTTACATAGATAAAAGAATGCCAAATCACAGGGGCGGTTTCTCCATTGGTTTATTTGTGCGGTGAACACCCAATTAAATTTCATAAAAACTTTTATAAGTGAGCCCGCGGGAGTGAGAGGCGTTCTTGAAAATCTGTAGCTAAAAAGAGATGTCACACGATTATAGATCCCTGAATTGTAGTGAAACAATGATAAAATAACTTAAATCAGCCTAATTTGCGCAACGCACACCGTGACGTCACAAAGTAGGCGAGGCCATACCAATATTTCAAATCATAGATATAGAGGAGCGATGACGGTACTAAACGTTTCACTTTTGTATTACTCTTTTACGACATATGTCAAACTCGAGCTAGTCAGTTATGGTGATAATAAATGCCCTTTATTTAAAATAGCGTGATTTAAATGATATAAAAACATTTTCATTCGGTCAATCTACAAATATAAAATTATTAACTTAAAATTAATCAAAATATGACGCAAAGTGTCTCCACTTATCATATCACAAAATAGTTTCGTTATCTACCTACTTCATATTCTATCTTCTCAAGGTTTAAAATCAAGCTGTCAAATTCTAGAAATCAACATGAGGCAATTTTAATTGTGAATTGTTTTAAAAATTAAGTTTAAATAAAATTGCGACTTTAATAAATCGGAAGTATACACGGAAAAAATGTGACTAGAAAATTTTACTACAATGTTGTAGTAGTAGACTTGTAGAAAACTACTTAACAATTTGTAGAAAATTTTACTACAATTTATAGTTAAAAACTATTAATTATTGTAGCAATTGAATTGTCGAATAAAATGCTACAACAATAGGAAAGAAGTCCACAATGTTTAGTATATTTTACTATTGTTTGTAGAAGTAGAAATTTATTACAATTATCGTAATTACTACTACTAACTTCTGTAAAAATTTGTACAAATATTAATAATTATCTCTACAAAAAATAGTAATTTTCTCTACAAAAAATAGTAATACTTTACATCCCTTCTTCAAAAATATTCTATAATATTGTAGAAATTCTAAGTCATGTGAACAAAACAGAATTCTGCTATTGGCCAACGTTTTCTGACGTCGATCATAAACGGCCAGACAGCAGTAGCCGTTCGCCATGTTCACATAACAAAGTATGGTACATATACGAGTACCTATAACACATTATTATATTATAAGCACCGATGCGTTTGAGAAAATTTTAATAATAAATTCTATTGGTGGTAAGTACATTTATTATTGTTTCTGAATAATTTACCTTTAGATAACTAATTTAAATAACCTTAGTAGATTCTTTTAAAAAAATAGTTGTGGACAACGATCGAATGTTGTGCCCAACGATCGAATTTTGTGCCAAGTTCAATGATGTTTTTTGTCTTAATTTTGACATACCTACTTTCTCATTTTTGTTAGTTATCGACTTAGTCATTTAATATCCAAATCAGTGTAAAGGTGATAAATATCCCCGTTTTAAGGGTATGAACAATTCAATTGGTATTAATTTTTACTTTCCTATCTGTATACAGATATAAGGAAAGTATAGGAATCATGATTTTTTTCGACCTCGAGTTTTCGACGGATTTTTACGTTTTGAGGTCCCCTGAATCCGTTTTGACTATTTTCGCGATGATGTCTGTGTGTGTGTCTGTGTGTCTGTGTGTCTGTGTGTCTGTGTGTCTGTGTGTCTGTGTGTGTGTGTGTGTGTGTGTGTGTGTGTGTGTGTGTGTGTGTGTGTGTGTGTGTGTCTGTATAACGCATAACTCATGAACCGATACACAGAAAAACACCAAATTTTAAACTTAAGCTTTGTTTCAGCGTCCAATGAGCTGATTAGATTTTGGGCAGAGTCGGAACATCTGGGGGGGTACTTTATAGGTGGTCATTTTTATATTTTATGGAATATATCTGTTATTTACGTTTGGAGAAGAAAATTCTTCAAATAAAAGTTACTTCTAATATAATTATCTATAATTTTTGTTATATGCAAAATTTTCCTAAAATGGTCCGTATTCGAGAAATTTGACAAAATGTAAAAAAAATAATTTTTTATAAAAATTGTTCAAATAAAAGTTGTTTGTAATATAATTCTCTATAATTTTTATTCTATACATAATTTCTCTAAAATGGACCGTATTCGAGATATTTGAGAAAATGTTTAAATTTCGAATTTTGAAGAAAACTCAAAAACGGATATAGAAAAAAACATTAAATTTTAAACTTAAGGTTTATTTCGGCCTGACGTGCAATGATTAGATTTTGGACAAAGTCGGAACATCTGGGGGGGTACTTTATGGGAGACCGTTTTTATATTTTATGGAATATATCTGTTATTTATGTTTGGAGAAGAAAATTGTTCAATTAACAGTTACTTCTAATATTATTTTCTATAATTTTTGTTTTATGTGAAAATTTCCTGAAATGGTCCGTATTCGAGAAATTTGACAAAATGGACAAAATTCTGATTTTTTTTGTTTTTACGTAATAACTAGATAGGAAAGTCATTTGTTGGACACATCAGATTTTTATTTCATATTTTTCAGGTGCAGAAAAGCCAACTGAGACTGAGGGCGCTATTATTACTGTTATTTATTACATAATGTAATTAAGAATTTGTATCTTTTATATTAAAACAATAAATTGAATATTTTATTAAGGAACATTTTTTTCTAGGTTATATTTATAATAATTATGGAATACTACTACAAATTTTATTAAAAATTACTACAATTTATATGAATTTTTACTATTTATTGTGTAAAATTTTCGTATTTATTTTCATAAAACGCAATACATTTTTAATATAAATTCATACAATGAATAGCAAAAATTATAACAATTTGTAGAACAATTCTTATGATGCATTTGGATCTTTTTACTAAATATTGTAGATAATAACTCTACAATACATTCTCCACAAATATTTGGAAATTTTTACTACAAATTGTCCCTGTCCCTATATGTACTATTTATTGTAGAGAAAAAATCTACAATTGTAGAAATTTGTTCTACAATTTTTTTTCCGTGTATGTGTTAATTCAACGATGTGTGTGTGTGTCTTAATAAATGTTTTTTTTTTATTAATTTGTATAAAAATCATGACTAAATGTGCCCAAATTTATTGTAAAAACTCTTCAGTAAAAGAGCGTAAGAAAATATCTAATTTAAGTTTTCATAAGTAAGTATAAGGAGTGTACTTTTTTTAGAATGCTTAACTTTTTTTTATTATAGGTTTCCAAAAGACCCACAATATCTCAAAATTTGGTCTTTATTTGTGGGAAAAGACCATTTTGAGCCTAAACCGAATAGCATGTTGTGCTCTATTCACTTCAAGGAAGAATTTTTTGATAAGAGTAAGTTTAGGGTCAGATTGAAGAAGAATGCTGTTCCGACAATAAATGAATGTTTAATTAGTATACACTTTATTTACAATAAAACTTAAATAACTAACTTAATAAAGAACATTGGCTTGACTAACTTTATAATAAAGACAAATAACTATATTAAAACTTAGATAACTATAATAAAACTTAAATAACTAACTTTATAATTAAACTTAAAAACCAACTATAATTAAACTTAAAAACCAACTTATAATTAAACTTAAAAACCAACTTATAATTACACTTAAATGACTAACTTTTTAAGTAACACATAATTTAGAATAAAATTTCAAGTATTTAAAAGCAGTTTTTATTAGATCCTAATTTCCTATTATTATACCGTTTTGATAATGAATATACCGTATAATAATAAATACTGGTGATGTATTTTTATTATTTAATTAGATTTGTGGCCATCACTCACTGCTATGTACCTCCTCATCCTCATGATATAAAATAATATGCCCGCTCATGTACCACATTACAATTATTATTAATATTAAATGAACAAATAATAAATTGATGTTCCTTAATTTAAAAACCTGCCGACTTTGTTCACAATACACAATAAATATAATTTAAAACATATTACGAAGTTAATGATATTTAAAAATTAGTAGTTTTGGAACTTAAACTAGTAGTTTTTGTATCATGGAACTATATATTTAAGGCTTTATAACATACCAAATCTTGTTCCAGACTAACCCATCCATACCTACACCTCCTCCCTCCAAAAATCAGGATCCTATCAAATATTCTTATTAAACCAGCAAATCAAACCAGTCAGATCGAATTACCTGTACCCTCTACTTCTTCTCTAAATATTCCATATGAAGAACCGCTGACGCCAAAGAAACAAAAAATATTACATACACTCTCCTCTGTCCGGGCAACAAGTGCAAAAAGAAAGCAAAAATTAAAATTGCTAAGACGACAACTTTCACGAAAAGTGAATAAAATTGCCAACTTAAAAAATATATTAAATGATTTAAGTAAAAAACGTTTGATACAGGAAGATAAGTGTCATATAATGTCAAAACTTGGGGGCCCCATCGAGGTATGTAGCAGGCAAAGAGGAGTTTGTTGGAAGCGAACGTAGAAGTTATGGTTGTGTAGATGTAGGAACGGGTGCAAATGAAACTACGCTTGCAAACAATGCTCTTGTTTTCTTATTAAATTGTGTAAATGGAAGCTGGGAAATTCGAGTAGGATATTTTTTAATTTCAAGTATGACAGGTAAACAGAAAAAGGGGCTGGTATTAGAATGCTTAAAGAAATGTTATGAAGTAGGTGTTAGTGTTGTAAGTTTAACATTTGATGTTGCTTCTAATAATCTAACAATGGCCAAACTCTTGGGCTGTAATTTACATCATACAACTTTAAAAACTAGTTTCAAGCATCCATCAAATAATGAAGAAATTGTTATATTTTTAGA